AAGATAAACAAAAACTAGATATATACACTACATAAAACAACCAACCATATGAATTTTCTAATTCTGAGATTTGAAAGTAACATCACATTCTGAATTCCCATCCCTGTGTCCATAACATATGTTTCAATATGGAGCTATGCAATATGTTCCCTATTTACATGTATAAAATAATCCATCAAACTGAAACCAATTTTTAAGGAATGAAACCCATGTTTAAGCCCAAACACAGATCGCACTCTCTACCCCTCAAATGGGTTTTCGCCATTTCTTAGGTATAAAAAGAGAGTGAAGAAATTGATTTGCAGTGAACAAAAAGTAAAAAGAACCCGAAATATGTACTTCAAGTATGATGAGATATATAGGTTCAAAGGGAGGTCTAAGCTTAGACAGAGGAAGTAGGAGGAGGTGGCAGGAGGCGGCGGCCATGGGATTTTGGGATTTTTTTTATTATTATTATTTTTTGTTCGATAAATAGTGCTTCAAACCCGTCAACAGTGGACAGCTCAATCATGGCGGCGTCCGATTCCAAAGATTCATACAGAAGCAGTAGGCATGGCTGCCGAGAGAGGACAATCTGCAACAACAACAATATCCAGAGCTTCACTCCATCAAAAAATTGAGGTTGATTTCGCCTCACCAAATCAGATCCCAATCAAAATATAAGGAGTCGACGGTGGTTGTCACCGGTGAGGTCGTGGGATGATCGGCGAATTCGCCGCCAGAGAAGGTTTACAAATTGAAGGAGTAGAGAGAGAGTGTGCGCTGTACATAAAGGTGTTTGGCACAAAAATGGTTTAAGCGTGTTTTTTTTATAGTTGAGGAATGTTTGGTTTTGATTTTAATTATATTCAGGTTTAGGTTATTCCAATTTTATATAATATAAGGTTTATTTTATCCTTATCCCAAACAAACACAATTTGACACAAATTTGGACAAAAGGGTCATTTTACATGGCCTATATTTATAGTTATTAATTTATTCAATTGAAGTGAGGGTATTATCGTCATTTTACACCATACATGGACCTATTTACACTAAATTGATAGTATAGGGGGACCGTTTTGCACTATATTGATAGTAAATGGGGTTTTTTGCACTTAACCTATTATCTTATTACTCTCTCCATCTTTGATGTTATTGATAAACCAATTTATAAATTGCACCCTATAAATATAAAATTAAGTGGGTTTGAATCTTTGAGGTTTATATAACCACTTTTCAATTTTCTGGAAAAACGTTTTTTCGTGCATTGCTTGATGTTTCTATGATATTTTGGATCTAGATAACATTTACTAAGTTTGTCTTATGAAAAGTATATCATGAAGAGGAGTGTTGGACCATTATTATTTTTGTTTTATCAGTTGCTATTCAGAAATTGACCATGCAGCTCATGTGATTAGGAACTGTAGTTGCCGGGAAGCATAATTAGAAACTGTAGCTTTATATTTGACAAATTCATCAAATATTCTTTCAAACTTTACAAATTTGAATCAGATTCTAAATTTGAAAAAAAATAAATAAGTAAATAAAATAAATCAGATTCTAAATTGTACTTCGCTATTTGACCTCAAATTCACTTAGTTGATGTTAGACAATCAAATTTCTATGTTACTTAGGTACTCGTGAATGGGCCATGTGCAGCACCCATCTACAAATTCCTCAAAGCCAGTAAAGTCGGAATTTTCAGGTCTAGGACCAAATGAAACTTCACAAAGGCTGTGTGTGTGTGTGTGTGTGTTTGTGTGCGTATTGTATGCATGTCATCATGTCTGCATGTTTGTGTGTATCACCCATATCCTTGTAATATTGAAATTTATGATTCATATAGTAATTCTGCATTTGGCCTCTGAAGTTGTTTATTGGAACTGAAAATTAGTTTGCTTCATGGAATATGATTAGTGTTGGCTAATGCTTGCGTAGTTGATAACAACATTACAAGTTCTTCATCTTAGTTTAATTAACTCTGTTTGATTCATTCAGAAACTCAGTACTTGGCACAAGATATGATACCAGTTGTTCTTTGAATTTGTTGTTTAATGGAATTGAATTATTTTGTTTCACTGCATATGATTAGTTGTGGCTAATGCTTCCGTGCTAGTGCTTTACAAATCACAAAAATTAACTGCCTGTGCTGAGTTTGTCTCTAACTTAGTTAGGACACTGATATCATTTTTCTTCTACTACCGGTGCAAGGTGTACCAAATCCCGAAGCTCACAAAATATGCTATTGACAAGTTGCTGAAAGAATTCATATGGGGAAGAAGAGAGAATTTTAAAAATATGCCTTTTAAAGTGGAATCACGTAGCTAGACCAAAAAGAGATACTTTGGCATCAGAAAAACTATCAGAAATTGTGGATTGATTGGTTCAAAGTCCATCATGCTGATTTGTCCATTTACTCAAAAGTTCAAGTTATTGGGTAGTATTGTATATCTTTTTATTTAGACCCAATTACTTTTTCATCCGAATTTGATGTGGGACAAATAACCCTTATAACATCATACTTGCATGAAATTGGTTAGATTTTACGGACACGATGATATATAACAAATGTTTGAGGTTGGTTATTTAATAGTAAAGGTACTTAGCATTGACTCTGTAAACAGCTTAGCATTGGGCCATATGGTTCATTAATTTATTTCTATTTAAACTATTTTATTTTTGTAAATAAATAAATAAATAAATAAAAACTTTTGACAATAATCGCCACTTTGATGGATATCACATTACTTTGGTGGTTCACACCCATGCCATTATTGGTGTGAATGCAATGGTAGAAAGAATCAAAACTCTACAACTTTGTACTCTGCTTTTTCCTTTATAAAGCCATAGGAAATTTCCTAAACATAGACTAGTGGCCAACACAAAAGCCATAGGAAATTGCCTAAACATTGACTATAGTCAATGTAACCAACACAAAAGTCATGGGAATTGAGCAGGTAATGTGACCAACACAAAAGCCATAAATGGTGGAAATACATTATTAAATTTTCTTTTCTTATTGTTAACCCCTCATGCAAAGTGGAAGAATTGCATACATCAATACACAGTGAAAGATTGGTTCAAATTAGTGTTGACATATTGGTTCAAAGATTGGCTTTACTTCATGTCTTATTTGACAAAACAAAATTCCATCTCTGAATATGTCACAGTCGCATGCAAAGTGGTGATGAAATTGGTTAGATTTTACAGACATGATGATATATAACAAATGTTAGTTAGTAAAGGTACATATGGTTCATTACAAGAAGGCAATTTCTTTCTTTTTAAACTATTTTATTTTTAATAATAAATAAAAGAAAAAAATTAACGAGTAGTAGCCTAACGGTATAGCTCCATTGGAAGATTAGGAATTCAAGTCTTAGAAAAGATAAGTGTATGAATACCAACTAAAAAAAAACCTTCAAACAATAATAAGAGTATGAGTTATCGTCACTTTCAAAGTAGTGACGACAACATTTCTCATTACTTTAGTAATTCACGCCTATGTAATTATCGATGTGAATGCAATGGTGGAAGGAATCAAAACTTTACAACTTTGTGGTCTGCTTTTTCCTTTTTATTTATAAAGCCAAAGGAAATTTACTAAACATTGGCTAGTGGCCAACACAAAAGCCATAGGAAATTGCCTAAAGCATACCACACCAATAATGACGGGTGTGAACCACCAAAGCAATGAGAAATGTGGTCATCACTACTTTGAAAGTGGTGATTATTGTCTAAAGTTGAGGACCAACACAAAAGTGATTATTTCTTTAATTTATTTATAAAAATAAATTTTTTATAAATTGTCATAGCAAATGAGCAGGTAATGTGACCAATACAAAAGCCGTAAATGGTGGAAATATATGATTACTTTTTCTTTTCTTAATTTCCATACGATGACTTTAAACCCTTCAAACTCTCTATCATCTTTATAATTTGAGGATTTACCACTAAATTTTATTGTGGAAAATCACAAATAAATTCTTCAATCTGAATTCTCATCCCTCACATTAGTTAGAAATTGTTAGGAAATCGTGTAATGGGTATTTATTTCATATTCTGCGTGTCTTTCCATTTGCTATACTACACTTATAGTGAAATAATTATGAAAAAAAGTATGTGCTCAAATAAGTTTAAATATAATTAAATCTTTAATTAAATAAAAATTTAAAAATTCGACATAACAACTATGACTCTAGACTATGCATGTGCAAAGATTTGAATACGCATAAGTAAAATATACGTGTGTGACTATGCATGTGCAAAGATTTGAGTAAGCAAAGGTAGAATATACGCGCGCGTGTCTGTATGTGCGCACGCGCGCGCTCAAATAAGTGTGTGTGTGTGTGCGCGGTCAAATAAGTGTGTGTTTGCAGCTCAAATAAGTTTAAATATAATTAAATCTTTAATTATATAAAAATTTAAAAATTCGACATAACAACTATGACTCTGAACTATGCATGTGCATGACTTTGGGAAAAATATAAAGTTATAGTCTTTTTAACACAAGAAAACACAACTTAATTATTTTAAAAATTTTGGTTCACCACAGAAAGTGTCGCTAAACAGTGTGACAAATGTCCTGGTGAAGATTTGAGGGAGCATAGGTAAGTACTTACATTAAGTAAATGAGGAAGTGAAAAACGCGTAGTGAAAAAAGGTCGACCATGTGATGAACGGTCAAACCTTCTCAACAGAAACACCCCATATGACCAAACACCTAAAGTGCTTAAACAGCATTTGCATTCAATTATTGTCACAGACAGTGCCAAACTCAATTATTGTCACTGACAGTGCCAAACAAATGATAGGAAGGTTCATGCAAAGTCACAACATAAGCAAATTGATCATCTTTTTGTATAGTGCCAGGAAATTGCTAAGATTTGAACAGCCATCTAACTTAATGGCTAAGATGTTTTTTTGAATAGCATCTGTAGAATATATGCACACTGTTGTTGCTCTCCAAATAAATCTCTAGCTCCCAGTAACTTGTCTCATAATTAAGCTAGGTTCCCATGGCTTCTTCTTCTTCTTCTTCTTCTTCTTCTTCATCATCATCGCTGCGTGGATCTGAATATGATGTTTTCTTAAGTTTTAGAGGGAAAGACACTCGCAAAACCTTTGTAGATCATCTCTACACAGCTCTGGTTGATAGAGGAATTAGGACCTTCAAAGATGACGAAAGGCTTGAGAGAGTGTTGGCATCAAAAACTGGCAGCCATCTCAGCGATGACGTGGACCAATGAGAAATTGACAAGTGTTTATTATGTCTTAAGGGAAGTCGGCCAATAGAGAGACAAAAGGAGAAAATCTAGGCAAATATATTTCAGCCACTTTGTTGATAAGGTTGTTGCAAAATATATTTGTAGAGCTTTGAATCAATTCAAATATGTCATCAATTCAAAAGAGAAGACTTAAGAGATTTAGTTACAATAAATAACTAAATCCCAATGAAGTAGGAATTTCAACAAGAAAGGAATAGCCGTATAAGTTCAAAAGTTACAAATGGCCATTAGGCCATTTAAGGGAATGAAACGGGCTGCTAAACTTAAGGAGAGGAGTTGCTAAAAATTAGCAACTTTTCAACCACTTTCTAGCAACGTTTTAGCAATATCTCGGCAACTTACATGTGATTAAATCGAGGAAGGTTGTTTTTACAGAGATTTCCTACTGAAACAAAACAAGAAAGGAAGCGGAATAACAATAGGATTTGACTGAGTTCAAATTGTGAAGAGAAAGAATCAAAGAAGGAGAGATTTTCTAGTAATAACTTAGGAAAATAAGTTAAGATAGAACTTCTATAAATAGAAGTATTGTATTCCATTCTAGGAGGTCCAGCACCACCACAAAACATGCATTTCAACTAAAAATGTTTTCAATTGACTCTACTTCATTTTCCTATCAATTTCTTTATTTCAATTTAATGGCAATTGATTAAATCCTCGTCAACTATTTCGATTCAGCCATTTACTTTCTTTCAATTTCAATTATGCCAATTTTAATTACGCAATTTTAGTTAGGCTTTCAATTCAATGGCAATTGATTAAATTCTTGCCATTGAATCGTAGTGACAATTGATTAAATTCTTGTCATTACTTGGCTGATGGCAATTGATTAAATCCTTTCTATCACGTTTCAGTGGCGATCGATTAAATTCTTGCCATTGTGTTTGGCTGGTGGCGATTGATTAAGTTCTCGCCATCACGTTCGGCCGGCGATCGATTAAGTTCTTGCCACCTGTCTTCACTCGGCCATTCCATCCATTCAAACATTCATCAGCCGTTGCATTTCTTTAGACACTCTAAAAAGTCCTTGCTACAAACAAGGCATAAAAGAACCTTGCTGGGAGTTCTTACTAGTCTCTCTCCCATACAATCGCCTGAGAGTCAGCCATCGGAAAAAGGGATAGGCTGGTGTTCAATTACAAATTTTGGATATTTTGTACAAATACTCTGGCACGCCCGCGAAGAGTCCATCGACCGGCGTAGGGAACAAAAACCGTGCGAACAGAAAGGAAAATCTATTTCTTCAGATCTCATGAAGAATATTAATGAATAGAGAATTGTTGTGATCGTTTTCTCCAAAAACTATGCGACTTCGTCATGGTGCTTGGAAGAACTGGTGGAGATCCTTGAGTGCAAGAGGACCAAGGGACGGATAGTTTTGCCTATCTTCTACGACGTGAAAGCATCGCAAGTTCGGCACCAGGAGGGGAGTTTTGTGCAAGCATTTAGACAGCATGAAGAAAATTACAAGGAGGACATGGAAAGTGTGAAGAGATGGAGGGACGCTTTGAAGGAAGCAGCAAATCTAAGCGGCTTGGATTTACAAGATAAAGCTAATGGGTAATATATATATACACACACACACACACACACACACACACATATATATATATATATATATGTATATATGTTCTGCTTCTATATATGATCAGTTATTACTAGCTTAGTTCAATATGTATATATACATTATTTTATTGGTTTGTGACAAAGAGCAGCAACAACTTTATAGATTTTTAACAATACAGTCTCATATCTTAATTGACTTCCCTTTATCTGGTGGCAAACTTCATATTTAAGCAGTGCATATGTTCTGTTACTAACATGATGACACTCTTATGATAAGTGTCTTATTTACATTTGTTAGTATTCAATAGAAGTCACCATATTCAAATGTCATTTTATTTCTATCAAATGGGTTGTTACTTCTTAGAAGTATTCTTTTCAACTCTAATTTTTTTTTGGGGGGCTTTATATAATTTATAATGACTAAATACTTATTTCAACCTTTATATATTTCTCTCGATCTGTTTTTCCTTTCTTTTTTTTTTCCTTCTGAAGTCTTTGATTTTAATGTACTGTGTCTACTTAACAGGTATGAGGCTAAGTTTATCAAAATTATTTTTCAAGACATTTCAGAAAAATTGCAGCCTAAACCATTTAGAGTTGCTAAGCACTAAGTGGGTATCGATGTACGCGTGGACAAAATCATTACATTGCTAGACCAAGATCAACTCTTTGTTGGAATTTGTGGAATTGGAGGAGCAGGTAAGACCACCGTTGCCAAAGCGGTTTTCAACAGTAAATCAAAAGATTTTGAAGGAAGTTGTTTTCTTGAAAAAGTGAGACAAGAGTCAGCAAAGGATGATGGTATAGCTAAACTACAAACCAAGCTTCTTAGGCAGACCCTAAGGGATCAAACTATAACAATATCAGATCCTGATAGGGGAATCAATGAGATAAAGGTTAGACTTGGTAATATAAGGCTTCTTTTAGTAGTTGATGATGTAAACGACCAAAATATATTGCAGTACTTAGTTGAAAAGGAATGGTTTTGTTGTGGTAGTAGGATCATCCTAACAACTAGAGATACACAATTGTTGGAAAAGTATGATGTTACAACATATGATCTTGAGTTATTAAATGACAGTGAAGCGCTAGAACTTTTCAGTTTGCATGCATTCAACCGGGAAAAGCCTGAAGATGATTATGAGAAACTTTCACACCGTGCAAAAGATTATGCCAAGGGCCTTTCACTTGCTCTCCAAGTGTTGGGTTCTCTTTTGCACAAAAGAGGAAAACAATTCTGGTCATGTATATTGGATAAGTTGAAGACCAGACCTCCCAAAGAAATCAAGGAAAATGTTTATGGTGTTTTAAAGATTAGTTATGATTGCCTTAATGAGGAAGAGATGGATATTTTTCTTGATATCGCGTGTTTCTTCAATGGATGCCATAAGAACCATGTCATGAATGTTTCTAAGTTGCCTGAATCTGACGTGGTCAACGGAATACAAATTCTTAGTGAGAGGTCCCTCATTAATATATCAGAAGGCAATGTGGTGTTAATGCATGACTTGATACAAGAAATGGGCCGAGGAATTGTTCGTCAAGAATTTAAAGAACCTGGAGAACGCAGCAGGCTGTGGTCTTTTGATGACATCCGTCATGTATTCGCTGAAAATATGGTACGTGTTAAAGACATATATGTTACTTTCTTTCCACGTGCAAGATTTGCAAACAAAGAAAGTTTCTTGTATTGTATTTTACTTGTAGTCTTCTTTGAAGTAGTAGTATAATTATAGTTAGGTTTTTATTTCTCTTGGTTAATAGGTGACAGAAAAAATCGAAGCTATTATGCTACCCAAGAATGGATTATCTTTAGAGGGAGAGTTGCATGTAAGAGCTGATGCATTCGCAAAGATGAGGAAGCTACGAATACTCAAAATCAATGGTGTGCGGCTTGATGGGTGCCTTACGGATCTTTCAAATGAGTTAAGGTATATTGAGTGGGATGGCTATTCCCAAGAATATTTGCCATACAATTTTCATCCAGAAAGACATGTGGTACTCCATTTACCTAATAGCCTGATCAAACGGACTTGCCCGAATTTAAAAGTAAGATAATTAATTTACTCACGCCGTTTCCCTTTCTATTAAAATTTTCTCTTTCAAATAAAATAATCTTCTCCACCCAATTGAAGCTAACTTTTTATATATATATATATATATATATATATATATATATATTATATTTTTTCACAGTTTCCAAAGATGTTAAAAGTCCTTAATCTCATTAACTGCCCAAATCTGGTAAATCCTAATTTTCCAGAGTTCCCCTTTCTGGAGGAATTGAATCTTAAGAGTTGTGACAATTTGGTTGAGGTTGAATTTGAGGTAATGCTATTATTTAAGGTGCATTATGCTTCTGTTTGCAAATTATTTTATCAAGTTGCTTGAAAATGATTTATATCACAAGTTTTTTTTTTTTTTTTTTTTTTTTTTTTTTTTCAAACAGTATTTATATCACAAGTTTGTTTGCAAATAAATGTTACAATGAAAAAATTGTCAAGAACATCTCCAGATTCATGGGGCACACTTAAAAGAATGTCCATGCAAATAATAATTATGATAACTATTATCATAATTATAATTAAATACATGAGCCTTAGGTTCATCACAGAAATTTTTCATAATAAAAAATAAAAACCAGATTAATTAACAAATTAAAATGGCGTTATAGATTTAAATTAGATACTATGTCAATTCATTAATTAAGACGGTTCTTTGTATGAGTTGATTTGGTTTCATTGATCAACAGTTCACTTCTAGTTCCAAAAGTAGTCACCATTTAGATGTCAAAAAATAAAAAATAAAAAAATTCTATTGAACCTTAATGCTTGCATATATATATATATATACTTATTTTGATTTGATAACTTTTGTTATCGAAGGCTTACATTAAATATGTTACTACCTGTTAGATTAGAAACTAGGAATGCTATCTCAAATGGAAAATTGAGAAATATTTTATCTACATCATAGAAATTATGTTTATATAAGGCTTGATTTAGGTCAACCTATTATTTTTGGATTTTATTTTAGGATGAGCTCAATTCGTGAAGCTGGCCAATGCAAATTGTTTTTGTAAAATCCAGAGTGGTTCAGTTTAGGATGTTTTTTGTAATACCCCCTAATTTAGGAACACGGGTTGATCAAGTCCGCGCACAAAATCAGGGGATATCAAACCAATTAAAGTATTTATACAAGTACGGATTACAAAATGAAATAAAGAATAAAATAAAACGCTGAAGAAATCCAATTAATAGTAAATCCATTAATAACTTCCAAATGGTTACAACTCGGGAATCCCGTAACTCAAGGACCCCTTAACCAAAAGTTACTATTTAGAATTTCAACCAAATAAGTACTAATATCAACTGAAACAAAACTAATATCCTACTTTTAAGTAAATAGAAGGAATGGATAAGTCCTCCAGCTGCGGATCCTCAACCTTGAGACTTGACCTTCTACAACCTGAAAAATAAATCGCGGGTTAAACCCTACGAGCAAGTTCTCTCTACCAAGCCTCTGAAAACCAATAAACAGATCATCTTTACCAAAACCATCCCTAATTAAGCTTTAACTTTAATATACGATGCTACAAATATATATAAATACTTATATATATAGTGTAAGAATCCTACCAGTTAATAGGGCATTAAATTGTCAAAACCACTCACCAATAATTAATTATCAGACATACCTAGACCAAGCCCCCCCTTTTATAATATTCTCATAAAGTAAACCCCACTCACCTTAACTCCATCCTAAACAGTAATTTAGTCATCTAAACATATAGCAATTTAAATATGCACCAGCAAATCAACCATGCCTTTTCTAAATATATTTATTTATATATTAGCAATTCAACCATGCTTCCTTCCGTATATTAACTTTTGCAATTAATTAGCAATTCAACCATGCTTTCCATATATGAAATTTATTCATAACCAATAAGGCAGTATACAAAGCCTTTGGCAACTCATCCATGCCTACAATTCAACCATGTATTAACTTTAAACTTATAGACTTCACATGCATATAATAAGCATGTCCTTAATTTAATAACCGTATATCTATTACGATTTTAAATCAACCATACCATCCACGAATCAAGTCATACCAAACAAGATTTATAATATTTAATAATCTTAAATAATATATATACACATATATTTTATAATATATATATATGTGTGTATCATACATTCCATACCAATCGTTGACTATTTAAAATCATATCTACATATATATATACATATATACACCTCCTTTCATTGCAAAAATATTTAATTAAGTGTATTTATACCACTAAATGCTACTAGGTATCTTAGTAACACTCTGAGGCTCTCAGAACATCAAGAACACACCCTCTAATGATTAATTTTAACCCTAACACGCTTAAGATAAATACTGGAAATTCACCGGAGTCTAAAGCAACTTTCCAGGACCTCACACGCATCCCCACGCGCCTCCACGCGCCACCACATACCCCTAGACTACTCCCACGCGCCTTCACGCGCTTCCCCTTACCGGCAGGCGCGTCCACGCGCCTGCACGCGCCCTCACGTGCCTGAGCCATTCTCGGCGCGTGTGTGGCTTGTTCCTATTGGCCAGCCTTCTGCGTTCTAGTGTATTTGCTTGCACTGGATCATTTTCCTGTTGACTGGACCACATCTATGGTCCAGATTTAATGCGCACACAAATTTTATACAACCGCAACACACTGAATCATCCTACACCCATTATCTTCATCTAACGGCCCAACCTAGCGAGTGCAACCGTTTCTCATGTAATCATCCACATTGGATTATTCTCTTGTTATCAGGACCAAATGATGGTCCTGATTTGGGCGCACAAGAAAGACTGTGTGTTGCGCCGCACCAAATCTAACCCCTTTTTGTGCATGCGCCGATTTGTATGTTGCCAGTATATATAAATATATATATATATATATATATATATATATAACCAAAAATTATACATAATAGTGTATATATTTTACCAACAATTTTATCAAAGGGAAAAAAAAAACTAAAACAAATAATATGAATCATATGTATAAAATATCCAGAAAATTTCATAAGCACTCAAATACTATATGTAATATTTTAAGGCCAACATTAACATATATAATAATTTAACCACCATATAATATAACTAATCATGCTACCCATCATTAAATCAACCTTTAAAAATTTCAGAAATTAAAATTAGAAAATCCTAATAGCACATACATGTATATAAAAGATTAAAGCTACATATATGCCAACAATAAATGTGATCCCAATAATCTGATTACTAATTTATTTTGATTCCACAAAATAAAATAAAACTATAATTTTGATAATGAAGGTGATAGGCTTATAAGCCCTAAGAGGAGAAGTAGAAAAGAACTTGCCTTTTCTTTTCCAAATCCGGTCTCCTCTTACGTTCTTTGATCCGGCCTCCTCTTCGTTAGCCCTTCTTCTTCTCTCTTTAATTCTCTTATTTTTCTAACGTGGAAAAACTCCTAACCCTAAAGTCTTATGTGTCATTTATACACATCCAAAAACCTACATCCTTTTCCTATTAGGATTATTATCATATAAAATAAATAATATTTATCTTTTAAATAATATATATACATACATATATTTTAATATAAATATAAATATAAATATATATATATATATATATATATATATATATATATATTACCTTCCATATATAACCATTAGTATAAATAGATTATATATACCTATATATATCAATATATAATTATATTGACATATATATCCCTCCTCATGATTTAACAATGAATTAATATACACATGTAATTATATAGGTATAATTATGCAAAGATAATTATTAAATATCCTCCCAACCACAGGCCTTTACCAATTAACCCAACAAGGCTTCCTTCAAGCCCAATACCACATCCGTTGGTCCAACTTCCTTTAATCCCAATCCAAATAACTTAAATACCTAAAATAATGAAATTAAATTTAATAGCTACCAATAATTAACAATAAAGTTACACCAACATAAAATCACGCAAATCAAATAAACACTTCACTAACTAGCATTCCACAAATCAAACACCATATAAATTTAACAAATAAAATTACAAAATATATAATTTAATTAAAACAATACAATTTACCTACGCACTTAATTAAATAAAACAAATCACAACTATCAAGCACCTAATTAAATAAAACAAATCACTTAAAAATAATAATAATGTTAATATAATATAAATTAATTTAATTAATAAATCCTTTTTAAAATATCGGGGTATTACATTCTTCCCCCCTAATAAAAGGAATTTCGTCCTCAGAATTCACGAATCCATAAAATGAAATTTTAATTATTTGTCCCAAACTTTCATTTTCCCTTATTCCACTGTTTGCCATGTAAGATATTTAATATGTAAATATCTATAATAAAATGCCTACAATTGTGTAAATTACTTAAACACTTAGTGGTGTAATATACTAACAGTCAATGATTTGTATATATATGTATAAATATATATCACCATCATAAGCCAAAACCATCCAGATACTAATGAACATGATGCACTTATATCTACTAAGTCATTTCTACATCTACCTTGAAATAAAAAAAACATACCTCAATTCTTCTAAGGTACCCATGCATTGCAAGGTGTGGCATTGTACACCATACCCTGATGCAACTGCTGTATAGGCTGTCCCTGCGGTGGCGGTGGTGCTGGTAAGGCCGGAAATGTCTGAGCCTACACACGTGGAATCTGTGGAGTAGGTAATGGTTGCCACTGTCCCTGTTGCCCATGCTGTTTCTGAGCCAACCCAGGACACCGTTTGGCTGAATGCCCATAATCTCCACACTTATAGCAATGACCCCTAAATATACTTGACTGCCCCTCCTGGTGATTACCCTGTAGCTGTCCCAGTCCAGTCTGAGGTGCTCCAGTCTGCTGAGTGGAAACTCCCTCTCTCTGAACTTCTGAATTACCCTTATGCTTCTTCCAAGGCTGCTGGCCCTGGAATCTGCCCTTGTCATTCTATCGGTTCCCATTATCATTCACTTTCGCAGCTGGCTGATTAGCAAAGTCTTTGCCACCCCGCTTCTCAGCCCTAGTCTGTCTGAAATCCTCATTCAGCTGATAAAGCTGCAAAGCTGCGTCCACCACTTGAGCATAAGTAGTGTAGGCTGGACTACTAGTAATAGCTCTCTTGATAGACCACATTAGTCCCTTGACAAAACTGTTGCGCTTCTTCTCCTCTGTATCCACCTCCTCCGGTGCAAAGAGAGATAAGCGTGTGAACTGCTGTTCATACTCCGCCACTGTCATGTTCCCTTGCTGCAGATTAAGAAACTCAGTCTTTATGGCTGCCCTAACTGCATAAGGGAAATACTTTTCTTCAAAGCGTGCACTGAACTCATCATAAGTCAATGCCATCCTCTCCTCTATGGTGGTAACTGACTCCCACCACTGCAGTGCATCCCCAACAAGCTTGAAGGTAGCAAGCATCTGCTTCTGAACCTCCGTGCACTGAACCAAGCGAAGATGTCGCTCAATGTCCTGTTTCCACTGGTGAGCTGCTCTCGCATCCGTGGAGCCCGTGAACTCAGGTGGACTCCCTTTTGTGAAAGAACTCCTGGCCTTCTCCCAAGTATCAGTCTGAACAACCGGTGCTGGTAACGGTGCCGGCTGTACCTGAGGCTGATTCCGAAGTACAGCTGCTACCCCAGCTTCTATAGCCCGAGCAATGAGGTCATTGATGTGAGGAGGATACTCTGGATCCCTGCCCTGAGCCGGAGCCTGAACTTCCTCTTGCTCCTCCTGAAGCTGACCCTCATCCTGAAACCCAAGTCGTTGCTGCTCTTCCTCCATTTGCTGACGTTGCAGGTGTTCTTGCTGCCTACGTGCAGCTCTCCTCTGTCGACGGTTCAGATTCTGTCCTCTTCCAGTATTAACCATGCTGTTAACATAGAACGACAGACATCAGTACGATTTTAACGGACCGTAAAGGAATACAATGTATCCTAAACTTAAGCTCTAAAGAAACGAGTACACAAAGCGGAATTCACATAACGAAAGACACCCTAGGGACACTTGAACCTGGAGTGCTCTGATACCAACTGTAATACCCCCTAATTTCGGAACACGGGTTAATCAAGTCCGCGCACAAAATCAGGGGATATCAAACCAATTAAAGTATTTAAACAAGCACGGATTACAAAATGAAATAAAGAATAAAATAAAACGCTGAAGAAATCCAATTAATAGTAAATCCATTAATAACTTCCAAATGGTTACAACTCGGGAATCCCGTAACTCAAGGACCCCTTAACCAAAAGTTACTATTTAGAATTTCAACCAAATAAGTACTAATATCAACTGAAACAAAACTAATATCCTACTTTTAAGTAAATAGAAGGAATGGATAAGTCCTCCAGCTGCGGATCCTCAACCTTAAGACTTGACCTTCTACAACCTGAAAAATAAATCGCGGGTTAAACCATACGAGCAAGTTCTCTCTACCAAACCTCTGAAAACCAATAAACAGATCATCTTTACCAAAACCATCCCTAATTAAGCTTTAACTTTAATATACGATGCTACAAATATATATAAATACTTATATATATAGTGCAAGAATCCTACCAGTTAATAGGGCATTAAATTGTCAAAACCACTCACCAATAATTAATTATCAGACATACCTAGACCAAGCCCCCCCTTTTATAATTTTCTCATAAAGTAAACCCCACTCACCTTAACTCCATCCTAAACAGTAATTTAGTCATCTAAACATATAGCAATTTAAATATGCACCGGCAAATCAACCATGCCTTTTATAAATATATTTATTTATATATTAGCAATTCAGCCATGCTTCCTTCCGTATATTTACTTTTGCAATTAATTAGCAATTCAACCATGCTTCCCATATATGAAATTTATTCATAACCAATAAGGCAGTATATCAAAGCCTTTGGCAACTCATCCATGCCTACAATTCAACCATGTACTAACTTTAAACTTATAGACTTCACATGCATATAATAAGCATGTCCTTAATTTAATAACCGTGTATCTATTACGATTTTAAATCAACCATACCATCCACGAATCAAGTCATACCAAACAAGATTTATAATATTTAATAATCTTAAATAATATATATACATTTATAATATATATATATGTGTGTATCATACATTCCATACCAATCATTGACTATTTAAAATCATATCTACATATATATATACATATATACACCTCCTTTCATTGCAAAAATATTTAATTAAGTGTATTTATACCACTAAATGCTACTAGGTATCTTAGTAACACTCTGAGGCTCTCAGAACATCAAGAACACACCCTCTAATGATTAATTTTAACCCTAACACGCTTAAGATAAATACTGGAAATTCACCGGAGTCTCAAGCAACTTTCCAGGACCTCACACGCATCCCCACGCGCCTCCACGCGCAACCACATACCCCTAGACTACTCCCACGCGCCTTCACGCGCTTCCCCTTACCGGCAGGCGCGTCCACGCGCCTGCACGCGCCCTCACGCGCCTGAGCCACTCTCGGCGCATGTGTGGCTTGTTCCTATTGGCCAGCCTTCTGCGTTCTAGTGTATTTGCTTGCACTGGATCATTTTCCTGTTGACTGGACCACATCTATGGTCCAGATTTAATGCGCACACAAATTTTATACAACCGCAACACACTGAATCATCCTACACCCATTATCTTCATCTAACGGCCCAACCTAGCGAGTGCAACCGTTTCTCATGTAATCATCCACATTGGATTATTCTCTTGTTATCAGGACCAAATGATGGTCCTGATTTGGGCGCACAAGAAAGACTGTGTGTTGCGCCGCACCAAATCCAACCCCTTTTTGTGCATGCGCCGATTTGTATGTTGCCAGTATATATAAATATATATATATATATATATATATATATATATATATATATATATATAACCAAAAATTATACATAATAGTGTATATATTTTACCAACAATTTTATCAAAGGGAAAAAAAAACTAAAACAAATAATACGAATCATATGTATAAAATATCCAGAAAATTTCCGAAGCACTCAAATACTATATGTAATATTTTAAGGCCAACATTAACATATATAATAATTTAACCACCATATAATATAACTAATCATGCTACCCATCATTAAATCAACCTTTAAAAATTTCAGAAATTAAAATTAGAAAATCCTAATAGCACATACATGTATATAAAGGATTAAAGCTACATATATGCCAACAATAAATGTGATCCCAATAATCTGATTACTAATTTATTTTGATTGCACAAAATAAAATAAAACTATAATTTTGATAATGAAGGTGATAGGCTTATGAGCCCTATGAGGAGAAGTAGAAAAGAACTTTCCTTTTCTTTTCCAAATCCGGTCTCCTCTTACGTTCTTTGATCCGGCCTACTCTTCGTTAACCCTTCTTCTTCTCTCTTTAATTCTCTTATTTTTCTAACGTGGAAAAACTCCTAACCCTAAAGTCTTATGTGTCTATTTATACACATCCAAAAACCTACATCCTTTTCCCATTAGGATTATTATCATATAAAATAAATAATATTTATCTTTTAAATAATATATATACATACATATATTTTAATATATATATATATATATATATATATATATATATATATATATATATATTACCTTCCATATATAACCATTAGTATAAATAGATTATATATACCTATATATATCAATATATAATTATATTGACATATATGTCCCTCCTCATGATTTAATAATGAATTAATATACACATGTAATTATATAGGTATAATTATGCAAAGATAATTATTAAATATCCTCCCAACCACGGGCCTTTACCAATTAACCCAACAAGGCTTCCTTCAAGCCCAATACCACATCCGTTGGTCCAACTTCCTTTAATCCCAATCCAAATAACTTAAATACCTAAAATAATGAAATTAAATTTAATAGCTACCAATAATTAACAATAAAGTTACACCAACATAAAATCACGCAAATCAAATAAACACTTCACTAACTAGCATTCCAAAAATCAAACACCATATAAATTTAACAAATAAAATTACAAAATATATAATTTAATTAAAACAATACAATTTACCTACGCACTTAATTAAATAAAACAAATCACAACTATCAAGCACCTAATTAAATAAAACAAATCACTTAAAAATAATAATAATAATAATATAATATAAATTAATTTAATTAATAAATCCTTTTTAAAATATCGGGGTATTACATTTTTGGGTTACTGATTTCAATTTATTCTTAAACAGTTATGATTAGTTTGGTTCTTTAATTTTACCTTCTATACCAAATCAAACTAAAGTGTACATCTTTATAATTTAGCATGTAAAAAACAAAAAATGAATTTCTTACTGACTACCTATGTTTGGGTCAAATCGGTAATAGAAAAGAAGGCGAAATTTATTGGTCATTTGATTAGAAGGAAAGTAATTTAGTCATATTCAGCTAACTTCCCATAAAATTTTCACACAAAAAAAGGGAAATAATTTCTTCATTTCTTGAGAACATTTAATGACGTTACAATATTGTACTTTATTTTCTTTCAAGTTTCATGTATTTTAAACTATGAAATGGTATTTTTTTTTTCTAATTTTCTTTAAAAAAAATTATATACTAATAAAATGCACATTAGAAAATTTATATTCTTTTCATTTACTCACTTCCTCTTACTTTTTACTTTCACCTCTTGCATTTCATTTAACTATACCCAAGTGAATGCAAATTGAAATAAACTAATTGAACAAATGGTATTGATCTAGTCATTGAATAATTTCAGTAACTTTCTCTTTTCTGAGTCTTTTTATTTTTCTCAAGTCTATTTTTTATTTTCTGATGTGAGAGATAGAAAATGAAAAATGAAAACTAAAGGAAACGGGAAACTACATGTAGTTGTCTTGTGTTTTCTATCTCTATTTTCTAATGAGATGAGAAGATTAGAAGTTAATGGTGAGGTTGTTACTTTAAATACATTTCCCCTCCCGTTGGATAATTATATTTGAGTTGATTGTAGTTGATTTCTCTTATGTTTTAATCGTTTGATTTAGCAGTTTCAAAAAAAGTTAAGTTACGTCGGTCTCCACTACTGCAAAAATTTGAAAAAAACTTCTAATTTGTCAAGGTTGCCATGTCTGAAGATATTGGATTTTGAAGGTTGTACAAGTCTAGTTGAGGTTCATCCGTCTATTGAATTTCATAAGAGGCTTATTTGGTTGAGTTTCGAAAAATGTAAAAATTTGAAGAATTTCGTCACAAGAATTAATTTAAAATCTCTTAAAACTCTTTATCTGATTGGGTGCTTAAAACTCGAGAAGTGTCCAGAGTTCCATAGGGATATGATATGTTTAGAGCTTGTTCGGTTTACTGGGACTGCAATAAAAGAATTACCTCCATCAGTTGGACATCTCGAAGGGCTTGACAAGTTATATCTGTGGAATTGCAAAATGCTTGGTAGTTTGGACAATATCGGTGAAATGAAGTTTAAGAATACTTTGGTTGAGTGATAGTGTAATAAAAAAGTTACCATCATCCATTGCACAGTTGAGTATTCTAGAATTACGTTGGTGTTACTGCAATTTAGATGAAGAATCCATTGTCAATCTTCCTCACTCGTTGTGGATATTAGATCTAAGGGGGAATGACTTTGTTAGCCTACGGTCAAGCTTCTCTCAACTTACAGACCTTTATCAACTTGTTTTGGCCGATTACGCAAGGCTCCACACATTGGAGTCACTTCCATCATCCATAGGATGTCTTGATTTGCGTGGTTGCTCAAGCCTCCAAACATTGACAGTTCCAGAATTTACAACACAAGTTTTGGCACAAGGTTGCGCATCACTAGAAGGGTATTCCATTGGATGCAATTTCAATTTGACAGAGTGCCACACAATAGTTGAGAATCATGGGAATGGGAATGGGAACAAAAAGCCAAATATATACTATTCACAAGGTGAAGATTTTATGGCAGAGGTATGTATTTGTCATTTTGTTGTGTGTATACGTCATGTATGGTTTTTATGTCTGTTAATATATTTCAAAATTAACCAGCCCCTCATATATGGTTTTTATGGTACAGAGAAGATACGTTGGGGTCTCTTTTTTTCCAGGATGCGAGATTCCAAGTTGGTTCAGCCATATAAAATATGAGAGTAACGGTGTGGACATGACTGGGGTGTGTTTGAGGATCTGTACCAATTCTTTACGTTTCCTCAAAGGAGCATTGTTATCGGAATCAATCAAAATCAAAAACCCATCAATGACGGTGATGAGAATCAGAATATAATTTATATCGGCATCAACGGTAAATGTATAGTTGGATATCTTATAGATGATTGGATCAACAGAATCACGTCAGATTACATTATACTTTTGCATAAACTCAATATGGGATGGATGTGCGATTCTGATGGGTGGTGTTACATTAAGGTTTCAATTAACGGATCCTATCGTGCTAGAGGACCATTGAAGGTGAAAAAGTGGAGTATTCATCCAATCATGGACGCGCAATATTACTTGGTATGTCATTGGAAAATTTTAAAATATATATTTTTTGTAATCACTAATTTTATAGAGGACCGTTTATTAACTAAAAATTTTAAAACTTGTTATCTAATCCAAACACATATTTGAGATTTGGTCTGTTTCCTTAGTTGTTAATTCATATTCAAATGCCTTTTTTTCCTTTCATTTCCTTGAATATCGGCTTATAATCTTAATTTTCTCTTACTAATCTTAAATTTATTATTACTGACAGTTATTTTTTTTTTTTGGTATCGTGTGATTCTGTTGTGGGGGCTGAAAAAGTGGGTTTACAGCTTCCAACTATACTACCCAGTCTCGGTAACAACAAATACAAGGATAAAGGAAAAGATTGGATTTTGGTTTCTGTTGACCCTTTTTTGAGGTTAACAGATAAAAATTAAAAATTAAAAATTCCCTTATATGCAGGAACTGGATCTTATTTTGAGTAATTATGAAATAACTATTTAAAATTATATTCACAAACTTGTTTTTGCTACCTGTTATCTTATTTCTATCCTCCTTTGATTTTAATGCTTAATCCATTTATGCATGAACTTGAACTTCTCTACCCATATGCATGGCTTTGAAAATGACACGTTACCATATCAAACTTCACAAATTTGAACCAGAGTCTAAAGAATATTGTTTATGCATTTCACACAAGATTCAGTTGGTTTAGTGACATTAGATAATCAGATTTCTTTGCTATACACGAACACATCAATGGGCCAAGTATAGAAATGCTTCATAGCTAGCTCAACAACGGCACCATTAGCTTTCGAGGTAGGTTTCTCTATATATGTGTATGTATATATATCTTGTCTCTGTGTTTGTGTGCATCACCCAAATCTTTGTAACATTGAAGAATGTTCTTTTTCTTCCTTGCTTTGGTTTTTTCTATTGCAGACAGACATCCATAGAAGTATTGTGAAAAGTAGGAAAGCACGAAGGGCTTATTTAACTTGGTATAAGACTGAGAAAAATGTAAAAAGAATGATGCTAGCTTTCTATTCGGTTAATTTTTTCAACTATATTCCCGTCTCTTCTACCTGTTTTTTGTTTATAACAATATTACAAGTTTATATTAGTTGAATTCTGTCTGATTAATTTAGAAACTCTACAATGGCATAGGATGAATTGTTCATTGAAGTGAGAATTATTTTGTTTCATAGAATATGATTATTTGTGGCTTATTCTTGCTTCCTAGTGCTATATATGAACGATTCTGGTCATTACTGAGACGGCTCGGAAGGGCAGATTGAATATAAAGATTTTTAATATTATTTGCACAAGGTAATTACTTTAAAAATTCAAACCTGCATTTTCATGCTTGATAGTAGCACAAGGAAATTTAAGTCGCAAGGTATAAGTTCGCAGGTTGAATTTATGTTTTTTTAGCATTTTGGAGGATTTAAATTTGACAGTTACAGAGATAGACCTGTTAAGAGTATGGGTTAATCACTTGCAAAATCAATGACAAAAAATATACACCACCAGACACAATTTCTAATTGACAATAAATATACACCACCGGACAATTTCTAATTGTATATTAGTTTTATTTTAGTGTCTGAATAAGAACAATACACTAAAAGAAAATAACAATAATGCAAGCAAGAGATTGAGGTTTCAATATATATCCTTTATTGAAGGTCTTTGTCTCTATTTATACAAGTTTTGGTGAAAGAATTAGGGTTGGACTCGCGTTGCTTGCCCCCACTAATCATCCTTAGGTGATAGTTTCCTTCTACAATTCTTCCATATAAGATTTCTCCTATAATTGCTCCTATAATTGCAATTTGTGTGATTGATGGATGAACCCAAACAGATGGACCTCCTTCATGGCTATCTTCGGATTCGGCTGAAGCCATAGAATTGGGCTATCTTGCTGATTGGGCCAAAAGATTAAATCCTTTCGTACTTCGTTGGGGCCCAATGGAAATGCCATAACAAATTGACTGGATGACATGGCCAGTTATAATTGGACCAGGAAATTTTCCCCCTCACACGTTGCCCTCAATTCATTCCTAAATTGAGTAACGATACCCATTTAGAAGGGAACTGAATATGTACAGTTGCTGTTAGTGTAGAAGACGGTTCGGTTAGTGGCTTTTGGCATTCTGCCTCAAATCCTTCTAAGCCTTGCCTCCATCATTGCCTTCTCTTCGATGCTCGGACTTCTGTCTCTCTCATGTCAGTTTGTGCTCTTCTACGTAATTCTTTACTATGAGTTCTAAATCTGCCCGTGATCAAGTAGAGAGTACGGATTCTGAGACCAAACCTTCGGTGTCTCCCGTTCTCATTAAATCTCCTCCTCCAAAAATCCCTAACCCCCATGACATTTTCCGATGACTCCGCTTCGGGTCTGAGGAAGTATTTACTAAGGCTAAGAGGGATGTGATTCTGTCTCTCCGTTGCCTTAGAGAGAACCATGTTTTCGAGAAGCTTGAGATTCCTAAGGGGGTGGAGATAGAACAAGACCCTTTTGGTCTCATAGGACCAGAGATTAGAGAGAACCATGTTTTCGAGACCGACTTGAATCGAACGGCAGATTTCAGCGGCAGAAGCACAAGGAAAATGCATTGCACTCTAATCTAAAAGTTTCGAGGAAAAAAAAAAAATCTAAAAGTTTATCAACGCAACAAGTTTTACCATAAGCTGGTAATTGATGTCAACTTTCAATGTGAACAGAGAATAGTTCAATGAATGGCTTCCCTCTGTTCATTTTCTTGATAAGGGCTCCACCATGTGAAAAACTTCAATTGATATAGACTTGTCAGTTTGAACTTTGAACTATTCCCATTATTTATCTTTCTTCAAGGTTGTAGGAAATTTAGAGAATTTACTATGCCTTATCTAGAACGAAAATTGATTTTAAACAAACACGTAACAATTGTAAATATAATATATTAAATTCATATTTATATAACAAAATACGAAAAAGTATTCAGAATATTGAAAAGAATGAAAACTCAAATAGTGAATTATATGTTCATACGAAGGTTGGTTGAATGCTTAGTATTATTGGATTATTATTTTGTGATTTGTAACGGAACGAAAGCTAAATTGATTGAATGCTTAAAGAAACAAGCATACACAAGTTCGGGAGAAATTAATATTTTATTGATAATAAAATGAATAATGTGCTTTCTGTTCTTGATAAAGGCACAAAAATTATTATTTTATATACTCAAGCTATATATATTTTTATATTATTTATATTTTGTAAATATTATTATTGAGATATTTTATGTTTTATTTGTAATAAGTAAAGAATTAGCATAAAGCAAGCAAAAGTGGAGGTTAAATGAAGAATTGACGATGCAACTCAGAAGGTTATATATATTTATAGCCAAAGTTTAACTCAAGGAAGGTCCAGCAGAGTTGGTTGAGTAATATAGAACTTAGCAATATTTTGAGATAGTAAAATAGCTTACATGATATGTAAAAATAATTTGACAATTAAACAGAGAAATGAAATTAAAGTAAGTTGGAGATAAAAGTGCTAAATTAATTTGGTTTATGTATTTATAAGAGCAAAATAAATTCAAAACTTTAAGTTATCATTCATCATCCGAATAACTATTTGACTATTAATCTCAAAGATATATAAGACTTTCATCATCTTCAAAGTCTCTTTAGCTAAAACCTTATGTAAACCCTAATATTCTTGTGGTACTTATAGCCAAACAATTAAAGAATATAATTTTATTTGCTAAGCAATGTAAAAGACTATTGAATCAATTGTCCAAGAGATTTATTATATCAAATCATATGATGTATTAGAATATAACAGTACGTTTATAAATACTACATATAACACATTACATTTTTTTTATAAATAGATTTAAAAACATGCAATAAAAATTAAATAATTATATATGTCCGTCTTATATCGATTTTTTATTTTTTTATTTATTATGTATGACTGAATAGAATATAATATACATGATAGCTTATTATATAGAGACTTTAAAGTTGTTCACACATAATTATTATAATATAGAGTAAGTATTATGATATATTAATAAATAAAATCTATAATTATGAACAGTCTAATTTTTTTACAAGTGTTTGCTGTTAACAGTGTGTCTATCTATGCACCGTAAACGTTTCTAAATTCGAAAAAGGATTATAACACTTGCCTATTTCACTATGTATAATACTTATAAGTGTTCTCTCTAATTTCTAAATTCAGAAAAGGAGTATAACATTTACATGTTTCACTCTCACCTTCATGACACTTTCATTTTTATCCAATAGATTCTTCCAACACTCTAAATAAATTGAAATTCATATTTTTTTCATATGAATAGCTTTCAATACATGGAATTAATACATACCAGAAATTCAGAGCTAACTAAAATTCGTCAGGAGAGATTTATTTATAAATGAAATTTATAACTTTCAACCATCATCTGATTTCTTTAAAAGATGTTTAATAATATCAATTTCAGTAAATTGAATAACTTTATATACAAGAATGTTATGAGCTTTTTATTCTAATGCGGTTGAATAAACACAACTTTTAATTTTTGAATTAGACATATATTTATTAATTTATTATTTAATATTAATAATTTATTATTTAAAGAGATTGACTTTTAGTCAAGATTGTAAAACTTCTCTACTTACGAAAGAACTTAAAAAATAACTTTTACACTGCTTGATGCACGATAGAATTTTAAATTTAATCCATCATGTTTTCCCAATGCTAAAGAAAAAGAGTAAAGAAGAAAAAGATTTCACAATTAAGAAGAGTTCTAGTTTATGATACTTTTCTTTAAAAATTTGTGACTTTCAGTAATATAAATGACTAAAGAAGTGAAATTAAAGTGAGTTTTTATTAGAAGAATAGGATGTATTGAGATGAAATAATTTTTTTTCAATTGAAGATCCTATCCATGCTTTTTTTGTACAAAAACAAAAATAATAAAATAAATAAATCAATATAAGTAAATAGAAATTGTTTTCTAATGATATATATACACACATATATATGTATATGTAATACACATTTTACGGATAATGTATATATTAAACTGGTTGAACTAAATGTCGTTTTATTCTAAATGTAACTCCAGAGAATTTCTTAATTTTTCTGTATTTTTTTTTTTTTACATTACAATTTCTTAATACTTCCAAAAATCTTCATGGAACAGACTTCCAAATATAAATAAAGTATATAATGGAATCCTAAATACTTTGGAGAGAATAAGACAAACATATATAAAAGAACAATATTTCTTAAAAAATTAAATAGGAAAGGAACACAAAATTAGACAAAAAAACAACAAAGAACAGTAAACACGTCATATACATAGAGAATGAAATTTTTTTAATATTTAAACATGATCAGGATGTAGTTAGACCAAAACACTTAGTTATAGCAGAATATAAATAGTACAAATAAAGTATTATAAAATAATAACAATCCAATAAAATATCAGTAAAAGTATATTAAAGTAATAGAGAGTAAGAAACTTCTGGCCTGTTGGAGAGTTGAAAGGCTCCAAGATTGTCACGTTCACAAAAAAACATTTACCAAGTCTTCCACTACCATTTAAAATGTATATAAATATTATAAATCAAATACACTTTTATAGGGTATAAAAATCAAAATTAAATAAACTTTAACATATAAAATATAAAAACTCCTCATGTACTAATTATGTATTGTATATATAATGATTCATTCGTGAAAGAATTCAATGATACCTAACTGACATTTCAATAAATGATTATACGCGTCAGTTATCTATATATACTTGTACACATATATTGCATATAAAATACAATATTTCATATATTTTATCTTTGTAATTTTTCTAAACAGAACAAATTTAATATTCAAGCATATTTCTTTCACATCGTAATAAAAGAATTCCAGAACTGAACTATTAGGAGAACATATAAAATATAATAACTCTTCATGTACTAATTATGTATAAAACAATATAAATATATATATGATTAGATAGAAAGATAAGATATATAAATTGTTCTTCAATCTAAATTAAAACATACCTTTAAAAAAAAATTTGAAAGGGTTTCGAGTTATAATTTAATATACATGAACCAAAAGACGAGTCTTCTCTCAAAGCCGTTGAAATTGTTTGTGGAAGAAGAAACTTCAAACAAACTTTTTGTGAATAAATTCTTTTCAAAGAGAGATGGAAAGAAA